TCTTTGACTTCCTCGACCCCGAGCAGACAGAGTGCGTTTGTGTGCCGTCGGTGAACCGAAACAGAAACAAACACGCACATCAGCCGTCCCACCTCCTCCTGAAAGACGCAGCAGCAGCAGCACACCCACAGCACACATTTACCCGCTTTAACACATGGACAGGGTTTAGTATATGTCCTGACATCATCACTGGAGACCTCTTGGCCGTGACATCACCCACGCTTTAACAAGTCAGCTCGTGTTGACCTTGGGGTGACCTCCAGGGCCATCAGGACATTTTTTCCCCCCTTCATCGGCGCTCTTGGACAGGATTCCCTTTCCTTTGGGCCGTTCAAGTCTCATGTGGTAGTAATAAATCCGCCACAAACTTGAAACAAGCACAGCTGAAAGATGTTTGGATGGCCAAACTTGTTTTTTTTCTTTCTTCCTAACCTGATTTTCTTTCTTTTGGATGTTTGTTTTTGTTTTGTGCCAGATTTGTCTGTTTTAGTTTCTCCCACATGGATCCAGTTGAGCGAAGAAAAGTACAATCAACGGTCAAAGTGGAGACAATATATTGTGACTGGTTGTTTTTTTGGCCAAAGCCCAGAGCTGTTATGGCAAGGAGTTGGATCGACGCTCTGCTTTTTGTTTTGCTTCCACAATGGTTCATCCCACTACTGTGCAAATTTTCAATTCATCAGAAAAAAGCAATGAAATGTCATAAAACAATAGCAGCAACAGGTGACTGGAAGCTACTGGCTGCAGCTCAAGGAAACCAGATTTATAAGACAGTAAAGGTCGAAGTGACAACAACTGGAAGACAAAACAAGATGATAAACAGTAACACAAACCTCTAAAAACAAAACTCCACACAACCAGTGGTAAAGCCTGTTCGAGGGCTCTGTGCATGTTCATAAAGCTGCAGATACGTCCAGTAACTAACTGCAGCCTTTGTTCCCATACAGATGCATTTCAACAGCGCAATCTAACCATTCAACCACACACAACCAAAATGTTATATCACGGGCACTGAAAAGAACACAGACGGTATAAAAAAACATATGTTTTTCTGTGTAAATAAGAATCTGCACAAGTTTCCATTTGTTAAAGTGTATATGATTTAGGTTTAGCTGTGGATTTATTTAAAACCCTAAAGTCTGTAGGGATGAAATGTTCTAAGAGTTCTGGAAACAAGTGGTTATAATGCAAAATTAACCCAGAACATGCATCCAAAAGAGAAAAACAAAAGGCTGGATGGACACAGTGTGACGCCTCAGCTTGGTGTTGGTAGAGAGCCTTATGTATGGATGTAATTTAAATTATAATTATGTTTGTAAGATGCTAAGAAGCAGAACTTTAACAAGTTGAAGTCGCAGGATTACATTAGAACAAGCATATTATATGGTAAGAGTGAGTGACCAAAAGAATATGAGTATTTGGCTGACAGAAATGTCTTTATGAGATATTGCGCCACCTTAATGTGACTAATGGTTGCTCATAGCATATGTGGCCCAAAGTTAATCTGAAAACAGATTTCTAAAGCTCCTAATGAAGAAAACAAAACAAAACAAAACAAAAAAACACTGGCTTTAATAATATAAATAATAGTGACCTGTCCTGTCTCATTTTAGCTGGTCTCAGATTTCAAATACACTTAATGCGGCAGAATATGGTCACATTTTCTTTTTTTTTTTTTTGCTGAACCATGCCACTCATAATAATAGTTTTTAGCAATTAAACGCTTGATTCCATGAAGTCGGGGGAAACACATGTTCAAACAATACTGGAACCTATAATTCTTACTGCGATAGCCTCTTTTCAGCTCATCTCAAACATGAAGAGTCCATTTTATAGAACATACTCTCAGTTTATAGTGTAGGCCGTTTGTATGGCTTTATTGTAGCAACCCTCAACACATCAGCTGTGTATTTACAGCTGTTTTTCACACACCCAACATGACCTCATGTTAAAGAACAAAAGTGTGGTGTTCTGTTTTTTTAAAAAGAGAACACATGCAATAAGACGACACCTGATGAGCTGTAAAACCAGAGTGCGAACTACGGTGAACCTCTGATAAAGCTGATAGAGGAGAGATGTGACAGCTTTGAGCCTCTCAAAGGTCCTTTAACCGAAGATAATGAGAGGTCAGAGGAGGTGTTACGCTCCAGACATCAGTGAATTCACCCAGATTATTACTGAGGAACCTTTTGTTGCATGGATCAGCTGGTAAAGGTCAATTATTTCACGAGACGTGTGAAAAACACACGTCTTGGATGTTCAGAATTTTGTAAATGCACGGCTGGAGGAGGTATTATCATTTTTTTCACACTCGAGATCTGGTTTCCATTTGGTTTATTGCCTGTTTCTTTACAGAATGATGTTGGTGACTAATATTTCAGAGCTTTCATAGACATGCGGGGTTGAAGCCAGATCATTTCTGTATTTGTTTTGGATGCTCCCTCTTATTGTTTGCTTATGCAGACAAAGCTGCCATGTAGAAGTACATGAGAACTCATATACTACATAATAGGCTTTTTAATGTAACCCTCAGCAGAATAAAATATATGTAATGCTTGCTAAAGAAATGCTTTTTTTTTTTTTTAATTATTGAAAAATCTCATTGAAATTCTTTTGCATATGTAAAACTTGTATAATAAAAGTGTCCTTGTTTTACTCAGGTTTACTCTCAAACATTAGTCAGTTATTCAGTGACAGCTTGAAGACCCTCACCTATGGACTGGACGTGTTCGTGTAACAGGATCAGTCATGCAGCAGCAGTTTTATATTAAATATATATTATATTGTAAATATATAATATATTGTTTTATTAGTTATACATATTGTATTATATATAATTTGACTGTTTTTTACTGTCTTTTATTATTACTTTTAATTAATAGAATTCCACAAAATCTAGCCTGGTGTGGAACCTTTCACTTGGGGGTCTTAGTACCCCACGTTCGTTTTTGGTTACCCACCATACCCCTATAAATGAGTTTTTCCCGCCTTGCCTCTCCCCTGTTGTACATGTACCCGATGGGAGAGGTGCTGCTGTTGTCTGTGTGTCAACTTATGTACATAATTTCATTTATAAGTTTACTTTCCCAGTTCTGATATGCTGTTCTGTCATTTAATTTCTGTAGCAGTACGAGCTGAGACTGACAGAGGATTTTGTGGTTTGTTTTATCGTCTGTCAAGGTTTGTACTGTACTTACTGTATGTATGAATGGTGAATGTTTCCCGCCTTATGCGGCGCCCTTTTGTACGTGTATCTGATGGGAGAGCAGTACGAGCTGACAGAGGATTTTGTGGTTGTTTTATCGTCTGTCAAGTGTGTTAATAAACGTGTTCGCCTCCAAAAAGAATGGTGTTCGGCTCTACTCATCACAACGCAGTGCAGACACCACCGGTTACATTAGGAGGAGACACTAAGGGTCAAGTGGACTGCAACTTGAATACAGTAGAGTCATCATGGGTTAGTCTGGTAAGTCACAAGTTTTTTTCCTCCTGGAATTTAAACGTCGTGTTTCCTGTTGGGTTAGCTATAATCATATTCATGTGATGGTTTAACATTGGCTATAGCTGTGCATTCTGGCATTCTAGCTGAGCAAATTTGGATATCTGTCATTACAGAAAAGAAGAAGAAAAAAAACATAACTGCGTCATACTGATGGCAAGCCGTGATAGCATAAGCAGCTGTGTTTGGCTAATTTACCTGTAGGCTAATGAACACCTTGCCTGTCAATGGCTACACTTTTTAGTGTACACCTAGGCCGGTACTTATTAGTTTCACCACTGAATACATATTTCCCCATGCAAACAGCTGTTAACGTCAAATGTTAAGTCACCCTCTTTTTGCTTGGCTACTGATATGTTTATGTAACACTAATATGAGCCACTGTATGTAAATACTGCTTCCACACACACCATAAACATCCTCTGTAAAGTTTGCTGGTTTGATTGTGTATGTTCTTATTCTTTCTCTATCCAGGAATTGCAGTGCGTCCCTGAGTCCATACTTTAAATCCAGTCCTGGTGAACAAAAGCCATTTATCTGTTCGCCTGACCAAGACTATGGGACGAGGCACTGCAAAGACGTACCAGCTTACTGCCACGATGGGAAAACCTGCACATAGCCTGTTCCCCACGACAGTTCATGTCCAAATGAGTTTGTCCCTGCTGTGGCTGGAGAAACCACAACCGCTTGTGTCAACTGGAATGCGTATTACAACGTCTGCCGAGCAGGGGACCACAACCCACATATGGGCGCAATCAACTTCGACAACATCGGCTATGCCTGGATCACTGTTTTTCAGGCAAGGAACAATTTGATACATAGAAATTCATTCATACATTTTACTTTAAGAGTGAAGACATGAGTCCGGTTTTCCTCTGCCATCATACCCAGCATTACTCTTTAGGAGATAGTTTTGATTACATATTTCCCCATGCAAACAGCTGTTAACGTCAAATGTTAAGTCACCCTCTTTTTGCTTGGCTACTGAGTTAGCTAGCTAATGCTTTCAGTGTTTCACCAACACAAGTGACTTTAACCTGAACAAAAAATCATAAGTGGATAATAGTTTGAGTTAATGATTTTTATTACATTTTTTTAAACGGTTATTATTTATCAGCCTGAGTCTATATGGTATTCTGTATGTGACGCAGCAAAGGCTAATGTTAGCATGTAGCATTGTACGATTGTAAGGATTGTCATGAAAANGAAAGATTCCGGTGCCCCCACCGGGACGCGAACCGGCAACCTTCTTGCTGCGAGGCAACAGTGCTACCAACTGTGCCACCCTGCAGCCCTAGTTATACATATTGTATTATATATATATTATTTTACTGTTATTTTATTATTACTTTTAATTAATAGAATTCCACTAAATCTAGCCTGCATTTGGTTTTGATGTGGAACCTTTCACTTGGGGGTCTTAGTACCCCACGTTCGTTTTTGGTTACCCACCGTACCCCTATAAATGAGTTTTTCCCGCCTTGCCTCTGCCCTTTTGAACATGTACCCGATGGGAGAGGTAAGCCAGACTGTGCTGCTGTTGTCTGCGTGTCAACTTATCTACATAATTTCATTTATAAATTTACTTTCCCAGTTCTGATATGTTGTTGTCATTTAATTTCTGTAGCAGTACGAGCTGAGACTGACAGAGGATTTTGTGGTTTGTTTTATCGTCTGTCAAGGTATGTACTGTACTTACTGTATGTATGAATGGTGAATGTTTCCCGCCTTATGCGGCGCCCTTTTGTACGTGTATCCGACGGGAGAGCAGTACAAGCTGAGACTGACAGGATTTTGTGGTTTGTTTTATCGTCTGTCAAGTGTATTAATAAACGTGATCGCCTCCAAAAAGAACTGTGTTCGGCTCTACTCATCACAACGCAGTGCAGACACCACATTAGGAGGAGACACTAAGGATCTTCAAGGATTTATTTACAAGTGGACTGCAACTTGAATACAGTAGAGTCATCATGGGTTAGTCTGGTAAGTCACAAGTAAATTTGGATATCTGTCATTACAGAAAAGAAGGAAAAAAAAAAACATAACTGCGTCATACTGATGGCTAGCCGTGATAGCATAAGCAGCGGTGTTTGGCTAATTTACCTGTAGGCTAATGAACACCTTGCCTGTCAATGGTTACACTTCTCTTTTTAACGTTAGTTAACTTTTTAGTGTACACCTAGGCCGGTACTTATTAGTTTCACCACTGAATACATATTTCCCCATGCAAAAAGCTGTTAACGTCAAATGTTAAGTCACCCTCTTTTTGCTTGGCTACTGATATGTTTATGTAACACTAATACGAGCCACTGTATGTAAATACTGCTTCCACACACACACCATAAACATCCTCTCTAAAGTTTGCTGGTTTGATTGTGTATGGGCGGTTCTCATTCTTTCTCTATCCAGGAATTGCAGTGCGTCCCTGAGTCCATACTTTAAATCCAGTCCTGGTGAACAAAAGCCATTTATCTGTTCGCCTGACCAAGACTATGGGACGAGGCACTGCAAAGACGTACCAGCTTACGATGGGAAAACCTGCACACAGCCTGTTCCCCAGGACAGTTCATGTCCAAATGAGATTGTCCCTGCTGTGGCTGGAGAAACCACAACCGCTTGTGTCAACTGGAATGCGTATTACAACGTGTGCCGAGCAGGGGACCACAACCCACATATGGGCGCAATCAACTTCGACAACATCGGTTATGCCTGGATCACTGTTCTTCAGGTAAGGAACAATTTGATACATAGAAATTCATTCATACATTTTACTTTAAGAGTGAAGACATGAGTCCGGTTTTCCTCTGCCATCATGCCCAGCATTACTCTTTAGGAGATAGTTTTGATGACATATTTCCCCATGCACACAGCTGTTAACGTCAAATGTTAAGTCACCCTGTTTTTGCTAGGCTACTGAGTTAGCTAGCTAATGCTTTCCGTGTTTCACCAACACAAGCGACTTTAACCTGAACAAAAATTCATAAGTGGATAATAGTTTGAGTTAATGATTTTTATTACATTTTGTATTTTGTATTACATTACATTTTTCAACGGTTACTATTTATCAGCCTGAGTCTATATGGTATTCTGTATGTGACGCAGCAAAGGCTAATGCTAGCATGTAGCATTGTACGATTGTAAGGATTGTCATGAAAAGAGGTTCATGAAAATCCTTTAAAAAAAAATCTTCAGAAGGTCCGTTTAACTGTCCGTTTGGCTTCGGACATAAATTTTTGCCGTGACTCAGCACCGTTGGAGTTTTTCCTCCGTTAGCAGGCTCGCTGTTAAATAGCCGTTAGCTAACTAGCTGTAAGCTCGCGCACTACGTGCTACGTAAGTGGTGGAGTGAGAGTGAAGAGTGGCGCATGCGTCTGCTGCCTTGGTAGACAGAAGTGTGCCTTAGGTTTCAACAGCATTATATTTATTAATAATAATAACATTATTATATATATTTTTTAATCTCAAATAACTAGAAACTGAAAAAACTAATTTTTTTTAAAAATGCTAAATTCTAAGACACTGTTTTTGAATTGTGGTTGAAAATAATAATAATAATTATTATTATTAGAGCACTTTGCTGCTTTGAGAGTTACAGAAAACACTTGATTGCAGTGATTGGCTCAAAGGGTTGTTTGATTTTGGTCCACTGCTCATCAGCAAAGTGCTCTAATTTGTGTGAGACAGCTTTGTTGTTGTTTTGCAATGTCTTGTTTCACTAAATTATAATCGAGCACATTTTTATTCTTTATTTTATTTTTTTCAGTTTCTCGTTATCTGAATGACTATTGTGAATTTTGCCTTTTCTTTAATGGAAGGGTGTGAATACATTTGATAATAAATAAAAATTCTATGAAAATGAACCAGTGAAAATCAGGCATTGCTTTTGAACTGTGGTTTAACAGAATTATTTTTAAAAATAAACTCATGAAACATTCCTTTATTTCTTTCAGGGAAAAAAAGACTATTTGTTGCCTCATTTTTTAAATTTCAGAATTCATTTTATAGGATTTTTTTTCATTTAATTATTTATGTGTGTGTATATATATGTATATTATTTTATGTTGAACAAAATGGCATTACATAGTTCTGTTTTTTTCACATTTTCTGTCTGTCTACATTGAAATATGTACACCTTTGTTCATATGTATGTGGACATGTGTGTTCCAGAGCCTGTGCAGCCACCCTACTACACACACTACTCCCCCATACGGCAGCGTATACATGCTTTGTGTACCCACAAGTTCCGGGATGGCTTCATAGCATTCGTTGTCTTCGCCAATGCCATGATGATGGCTGCCGAACACCACAATCAGCCCGAGGTAATGCACACCACATGCTGTCACTGTTGATACTTCAAGTCTAGAAATACTTAAAAAATGAATTGGCATCAGCTCAGTGAGGGTGTGGAAATAACTCTGTGTGTGTGTGTGTGTGTGTGTGTGTTTGTTCAGTCCATCCAGAAGCTTGCAGAATACTCTCAGGTTGTTTTCACGATCTTGGTAATCATCGACGTGCTGCTAAACCTTGTGGCGTTCGGTGTTGTGAGGTTCCTGAAAAACGGGTAACGCGTTAAAATCATCCAATTTAGATTCTTTATTTTCCTTTGCTCGTTGGGCTTTTTAAGTGCTTGATGTGTGACATGATGTGTGTGTTTTTAGCTGGAATCTGTTAGATGTTGCTATCGTCTTGGCTTCCATCATCAGCATCATTTTCAATGAACTGGAAATGGTGCAGGTCATTCCAATCAATCCCCGTATCCTAAGGGCCGTGAGGGTACTCAGACTAGCACAAGGTACCCACACACACCTTTTTTTTTTGTTTATTATGTTTGTTTTAGATATCTCTCTCTTGGTGGGGGGAGGGTCGGAAGGCGGGCGTGCCGGCCGTGCGTGGGCCTGGCTGGGTGGGGCGGGCTGCATGCAGCTCCGGCCACGTCGCTGGAATGACTTTCAGTGTCTTCAGTTTGTACATAGTTGGTTCGTTGTGTCAATAAGTTAAAACACAACTTTTACACTTTTGTTATTTTCATTTGTCATTCATTCTAAATGTATTTTCTTGCTTTCTACTTGTTTATAGTACATCCCGTCAATTTCACTTCAATCTTGTAAATATGTAAACTATTTTGATTTAATAAATGAAAAAACATGATGTACACACAAAAAAATACCACTTTGACTTCTTTGCTCATTGTTTAGCTGCTTTACTGTAAGTAGGTGATAAACACTGAATGTAATGCAGTGTAATCTGCATAAATGGTATTTTGAGCTCTCAGTCACCTGTTGCTGCTCTTGTTTATATTAAAATTCAGATCTTAAATAATTGACTTTACACTTTTTCCCTCCATCCATGCAGCAGGAATTAAAAGTAAAAAAAAAAATGAAGGTATTCCAGAATTGGTAACAGATCCCAAGTTAAATCTTACGTAAAGCTAAAATAAACGGTGCCATGCGTGCCTGTGGATTCAGATGTACAGTTACCTGTTCTTCTGGCACCGAGTCTAATTCCTGCTTCCTATGAATAACAACGCTTTGTCTGCAGGATGGGATTCCCACAGAAAACACTGCAAAAGCTGCCAACGCAGCGGGAGGAAAAGGTTTACTAGATGTCGCAGGTTCTGAACTCTGGTGCCCTGACTGGATTAGTGGGCCGCTGAAAAGGAAATCAGACTAAGAGGGGATTTACACACTAACACAATTATAGCCGTTAGCATAGGAGCTCGGCTGCATCCATTAACACAGTTTGATCGGAAGGGCTCGTGAATGTGTTGTTTGTAAACAGCTAGATTATATAGCAATGAGCGTAACCACCGAATCCTATTAAGTTTTTGAATCAAGAGTTATCCGACTTGATGGCACCGAAGCTCCAAACTGCTCCATTCCTCCGAGTTGCTCTTGCATTCATGACAGGCTGATTTGTTTCTTTATTTTGAAGGATTATTTTTTTTTCTTTTCTCCCCCTTTTTCAGTCTCAAACCAAAAGGGGGTTATGCACTTGTTTGTCAGCATAAAGCCGAAGCTCAAACTAAAAGAGCTCAGAGATCAAATCGCAGCCTTGGGAAGAACCACAGGATCTTTTTGCAGACACACTATACAAATGACTCAGTGTCTGTCCAGTGTGCCAGTGTGTAATTGACAGTTGTGGATAAGTTATAGTACATATTTTACATATCCCTTTCCAACTTTTTTTCTGCCTTTAAAGGCATCTTTGGGGTATCAGCTATAGAGTGAATCATTTTCTCTGTCTCACTTCTTCGTGATCTGCAGTTTGGGTGACGCACAGTAATGGTACTTTTTTAGTCAGGAATGGGGTTAAACACCTCCTGCTTAGTGCATAATTCAGATTTAGCTCACTTAGTCATTTAGTTATTTTGATTGGACTGTGTCTAACGGTGGCACCACCAGTTATTTTGGTCAAAGGTAGCCTAAAACTGTGGCACCGCCAGAATAGTGTTGGATATGGCAGATTTGGTGTGTGTGTGTGTGTGTGGCGGTAAATAGAGACTTAGACACAGCTGAAGGTACAAGGATGTTCTTAAAGTCTTTGGGTGGTCCAACCTCTCTGGGAGCTTCAGCCTGCTTTTTTGCGAACACCGGCAGCGAACAGTGGTCATTATTAACAGACGAACCAACCCCACCAGCCTGGGATTACCTTCCAGCCAACTGCAGATGTGAACGTCTAAACAATTCTCCCACTCTGTTTTGACATGTTCTATTATAGGTTCTGCATCTTACACCAGATCCAGAAAGAAAAAATTGACAGCTAAATGAAATCATTCATTTTCTGGTCTGATGTCATCCAAAAATTGCCATAATTGCGCAGGCCTGGCGTCTCTGGTCTGTGACTGGCAGAGACACCGGCTCTGGGCGAGGTGCACGGAGGGAAAAGTCGCCTGGTGGACGGTCCCCGCTCCATCCGTCGTTGTCTATTTAAACACGAGGCATGCAGAGTACAGTAAAGGGACGCGGGACCACTTTCCTTCTGTCTGCTCGACCAGCCTTTAACTTTCTGCTGCGCTCACAAACAAAGACAAGATAGGACTTGATGTGGTCAGACCCGAGAGGCTAATGACAGACTCTGGAACCCAGCAGCAGAGGCTCAGGGTGCTTCAGTGCAGCGTATGGGAACGCACACAGATGCATAGTTATATAACTATGTAAAGCCTGAGAGCCACCAGGAATCTGGAGTGAGGGACATTCGGTGAAAACAAAAATCTACAGGAGCTTGTTTCTTTCTGCAAAAGGAATACGATTCTTTTGGTTGTATTTTTTTTTAATATGTGTGATTTTCTGTGCGTTCATCTCCTCTGCAGTGCTGCAAGACGCACTCAGATGCTTTTATTGTAGCAATATCACCATACAAACGTACATTCTGGCATTTTGGAAGAACAGCTTTGTTTTCTGGTTGAGAACTTGATCAGAACATTAACACCACTTTCATGTGTTGACAATGAAGCTGCACCAAACGACGTCTTAACAGGCTGCAAACACAGGATCTGCTAATCCTGCTCTGCCTGTTAGACCTCTGAGGCTGCATGACCAAATCATACTTTTTGTATAATCAACAAACAAGTCGCGCATGTTGTGGTTTCATGTGCTGCTTTGTTCTGAGCTGCTAACCAGCTACTTCATATTTAACCCTTTAACCCTCTTGGCTTCCCCCCATCCCCCCCAGCTTGCAAACATCCCGATATTTACCAGCAAAACTGTGCAGCTGACTAGAGCTCCTTGAATTAGGACTGCAACTAGTGATTATTGTAATACATTGATGAGTTTCTCAATTAATCAATTCGTTATTTGGTTTATAAAATGTTCAAAAATGGTGATCAGCGTTTCCCAAAGCACAAGACGACATCCTGCTTTTGTCGGCGGCCCAAAAATGTTGCGTTTACTGTCCCAGTGGAGCAAAGAAATCACAAAATAGTCACACTAAAAAAAGCTGCAACCAAATAATTGGTTATCAGAATTTCTTACTGTTTAATCATTGACAAAGAAGCTTTAAGCTCTACTATGCATAAGAGAGAATAAACAAATAAACACAGTGTGTCTCATTGTCCAGAGAGACATCTGAAAAACCTCCAGCAAAAATCGACAATTTTAATTCTGCCTAGTTGTAAATAAAAGAGTGACTGACATCCCTATAACAAGAAGTCAGTCAATAATGATGCTACAAATTCTCACTTGCAAACCTTTTACATTCTGGTCTGGAATCCCCCAGGAGGAAGTGGAGAGCCGGGGAGAGGTGCATCAGGATGTACTGCTTAGCCTGCTGCCACGCTGACTTCACATAAGTGGAAGTTAATGGATGCATGAATGGAGCAACTGAATGTCCAGCAAATCTGATGCAACAGAAATGAAACACAACAAATGCTACACGCTACTAACACGCAGGTTGCATGTTAATGTAAATGCAGCTTGGTCCTCTTCCAGGGACCTTCAGGATGGAAAGGGTTAACAGGCAGTGGTTTTAGATGTATCATCCAGCTCTTGCTTTAAGTAGAAAGTGTGAAGGCAGGGATCGACTACATCACTACGATACTGTTTGGTAGCTTAATCTATATTTATTTATTTAAACCACATGTATGTCTTGTGTATAAAATTCTAACCTATCAAAAAAACATGGAGAAGTAAAAAGTACAAGATCAGCCTGAATTATTGTGGAGTAGAAATCTAAAGTAGCATAAAATGGTAAAACCTCACAATTGCACATAGTTTTTCACCTCTGCTCCCCTGTAAAGTTTGAAGGGAAAGCCAATCAGTCCTAATATTTAGTACATCTGCCTAATTTAAGGTTCAAGAACAAGGTTGGTGGAGCAAGTTGTCCATAGAGTACATTACCTAAGAATGAAGAGATCAGACAGTTTATTAAGTCGGAGAGTCTGGGAAAGGGGTCAGAGGTTACAGGCCATCATCCTCCACCTTTCTTTCCCACAACCCAACGATTTAAGCGTGTGGCGTTAAAGGATGTTGCGGGCTGATCTCGATAACCGGTTCTCTTCCTCTTGCCCTGCTTCCTCTCTTACCTCACAGCGAGGTCGTCCCACTTCTGGAGCCGACCGGCTCTCGCCTCTCGCTGCCAGACGCATCAACGTTCCTTGAGGCAGATTCAGAGGGAGGCTTGTACGCTCAGCCTGTTGTGTAAGAGCAGCGCAAAGAGATAATACGCTTTGCTCGAGACGAGCCCTGAGCCTGTACTTTCACCTGCCGTCATTAACACAGTTATCTTTCAAATCCCTTCACTACAAACAAGAGCGTTGCAGTTTGCTTTGGGATTAATGGGCCTCGCATATTTCAGAGCTTTAAATTTGAGCAAATAAAAAAAAGAAAAAAATCCTGAATGCTTACACTTTACCTTTAGGACAGACATTTAACTTTTCCAACCAATACTGTTCTGTAATGATATACAATTAAGTCGGGGAGCATTGCTGCCTACATAAACTGTGCCCATATAAACTGTTGGGTACATTTCTAGACAAGAGAGATTCAAACCAATTCATCATGTGATCTGAGTTCAAAAACTAGCTGAGCTCGCCTCCCACTACAGAAAGCCGAGCAGCAGGAACGTCTCTGAGATGAGATCTGTGTCGGGGGCTCAGCTCCCGGTGGACTGTGGGAGTAAAGCTGTGCCTTTAAACTGTGGGAGTATGTTTCCCTCTGGAAAAGGTTTTTCCCTGAAAACAGCCTGGAAGCGATGGCTTCCAAGATGTTGTCAGAAATGAGATACAAACACATTTTTACAAGGATACAAAGGAGCGTTGCAGAAAGCACTTGCTCAAGTAATTTTAAGTCATTTTATTTCCTGCATGCAGTGAAGTCACGGGACTCTGAGGATGAGCGTGGGCAGCACAGACTGGTGCCATTACAGGCTCGAGTCATGTGAAATGATATAGCTCCAGATTATTATAAGGTTGTTTTCTCTGGGGGGGGATTTCTTAGAAAACAGGCCTGAATGTTTGGATGCGACAAGCCTTTATTAATCCCACGGTGGGTAAATGTGCATTGCCTCAGGAACAAAGGGGAAACATTTAAGAATTATCAGCAGAATAATAGAAATAAACCAAAAAAATACATAAATATTAGTTCAGATTGTCCAAATACAAAAAAAAAACAATATAACACACATCAACCCTATAAATTCTGCAAAACAGGTTCCTTCAAAATAAGATCTAAATGTTGATGTAACGGTTTAATTCTGGGCCACCGCATAACGTTTTAAACTTGCCAGAAGCAAAGACAGAAAATAGAAGCTGATAGTGTAGTTGACTTACATTACAGCGCCCTCTAGTGGCAGACACGTCTAAACGACTCCAGGAGCATTTTTTAATTAACATTAACTTTATTCAGTAAAGTAAAAAAAAAAAAGAAACAAACAAACAAAAAAATTCAAATAATTTTGGAACTGAGTATGTGTGTTCTGAAGTTGTTTGGGACACTAAATAGTTAATTCAATGTCAGGCTGCTCTTTGGCACAGCAGCTGCTGCTGGTCGTGGTGTGTCAATAAGTGGAGTGCACACTGCGCTCTGCCTTCACTTTCGAAAGTTTAATCATTAGACAGTGACCTGGTTTGAGTTTGACAATCTTAAACGCAAGGTGATGTAATGCAGCCGGAATATGGAAGAACACAGAAGCCAATGAGATTAAAGATAGAAAAGCTGCACTCGTTGATTTCCTGGTTAATTTGAGGAAACGAAAGAGTGTCCTCCAGGTTTTACAAATGGTTTTACGCATAAATCACCTCTGAGTTCAGCTATTTCTGTTGTCCATACGTCTACTACAACGTCTATATTTAGTTGTTGTCATATGTCGCGCTGGTCAGCTGGGATCCTGCAGCAGGACACGCCTCTGGGGCTGAATGGAGTGCGCCGTGCGTAAAGTCCGACCTGCAGCGGATCCAAACTTTTCAATTTGATCGCTGGTTTTAAGAAGTATCCAGTCGACGTTACTGATTGGTTTAAGGGCGACTAAATGCAGCGATGACTCGAGAGGAAGATCTCATCCGGATTGCAAAAAAACTGGACAAGATGGTGTCTAGAAATAACACGGTGAGAGACTATATTTTGACACCCACAGGTGGCGCGTTGTCCTTCCACCTCGTGCTGCGCAGAAGGCCGCGTAAAAGTGAAATAAGCCGCCTCAAGGTTTCGGTTGAGTTCGACTTCTTTAGTGACTTTGTGTGTTTGGAAAGTTGGCACAAGTGTAATACGAGCCGGACTGTAGTGTAACAAATGCTCAACAGGTGTTTGGCGAGGGGCTTCGCGTGTATTTCCCTCGCATGATCTTGCAGCTCCCGAGCGTGTAGGTCGAGTTTCGTCTAGTTTGTCGGCAGATTTTCTGTTGCAAAACGTTTCCTCTCTGGCCCGTCGTATTGAGGAGTAAATTCGTGGTGTGCAACGGAAAGTAAACAACGCGGCCTGGGAGTGAGGTCGTGCGTGTGTTGTGACTAAATCTGCAAACACGGCAATGTTTCATGGCGCTCCTGCACAAGCCCAGTTAGACAGAGGGCTGCACACCGCAATGCTGCTGCAGTAACTTCTAGTTTGCTGTTTTTTAAACGTCTGTTATGATGCATGTTTTGCATTTTGCAGACGAGAACAATAATACAGAAGTGAAACCGTTGCCGCTGTCTCACCAGATTGTAGTTTCCTTTTGCAAAATTCACATTTGCATGCTGTCATATCTGCATTTTACACTGTTATTACATTTTCCTGAATGAACACATTCAAGAATGACACGTTACAACTAACATCGACCTGCTTTCATGTGTGCAGGAGGGAGCCATGGACCTCCTGAAGGAACTCAAAGGCTTCAATATGACACTCAAACTTCTCCAGGTTTGTTCCAGCTTTACGATCTTACACCAACGTGACAAATGCAATAAATGCACAATCACTAAAAGCTCACAATGTGCTTTTTGTGTGGTGGTGTTTTGTCAGGAAACAAGAATCGGCATGTCTGTCAATGGCATCAGGAAGCACTGCACGGACGAAGAAGTTATTGCTCTGGCAAAGGTCCTCATAAAAGACTGGAAGAGACTTCTGGGTACTGACACACTGATTTACATACGCAAGCATTTACAGAGCACTTTGATAGTTGTTTGTGCAATAAATACATTAGCAGACTGAATGATTTGCTGACGTCTGTAGATTCTCAGTCACATTAAACTTCAATAGTAGACAACTGGATGTCTGTTTTGGTTTCTAAAGACACTTTTTCACTTCTCATTAAAGAGAAAGTGACTCGTTTCTAACTGACTGCTGGGGGAGTCCAGGTATTCAGCCTCACTCCCAAATTAGAAGGCTGTTGTCATCTTCAGAGGTAACAACAGCTTTGCCAAAAAATATAACAATTAGAAAATCAGAGAAATTGTCAAGGCCGTTTCCTCCCTGGAGCTTCCAATGTGGTAATTCTTAACTGTTTAAGGATGATGCAAAAACAAAAAAAAACTTCTCTTTCTGTACTGTAGCAGCTTTTAAGGCATTGCATTTTCACTTACTTGTATCATAATTTTGAAAAAGTACAGATTTTCTACCCGCTAACAGCTGCAGGTAGACTGATGTCATTTCTTGCCTGCTCAACGTGGGAAAACTCACATGACTGACAGGTGTTAATGGTTGTAAAACTGCCTGGGTATGGGTCTTAAGACTGTGTTATAAATACGTGATAAGTGGTGTTGTAGACCTTCCTCCCATTTAACCTAGATGAATGTCCCTTAACCTTTAGATGCAGGCTTGTCTGGGGGAGCTGGCTCTCCTGTGTTGTGCCGTACGCTTGTGGAGTGGTTGTTCCGTGTCCTCTATTTATAGAAACATGCAGTCCTCCTTGCATGTATGCAGGATATATGTATTTATATACTAGTGTATGTATACACAACACAGGCGAGCTCGCTCCTCAGGACAAGACTCGGCAGTTTGCCTGCATCTGAATGATAAGAAACACTTTTGAGGACAACAAAGTCTACATTCAGGACAGAGGAGACAGATGGTTGGAGAGACATGTGGAGTCCAGGACACCACTCTGTAAAACATAATCGTGCATCATTATCCTGCTATAGGAGGACAAAACGCTGCTGTTTGTATTTCTTCAAACCAATCACAGTTGTTGTGGGCGGGGCTAAGCGAAGGCAACGGCTTCCTTGTTCCCTCAAAAACAGTGATGGGTTGAATAGTTGCGGCGGAACATTTGCATGCAAGGTGATAAGCAGCCTCATTAAAATGGATAATACACCACAAAAAATAGAAGGGCAGCCTCACTGCACTGCGTTTAAAAATTGGATATTTTCCGTCTGATAGGTTGTTGCAAAATGACTAGAACACCACTTATCAGGTACTTACAGTGCAGTTCAGAGGTCCCTCACCGGGTAGTTTCACAACCATCCACATCTTAAGTCGTACAAGTCTTTGGTCACAGGGGTTGAGAATAAATCCCAAGGCCTCCCTACCAGTCAGTTAGGAAACGAGGAAGCATCTTGAATGAAGGTAAAACATCTTCAAGAACCAAAAAACGAAGTCCAGTTGCCTTCTGCTAAAGCACTTAGGATGGTTTGCTGATATGCTTTCCCCCCCTACACGCTCTCACACAGACTCTGGCCATTCTAACTCTGAGAAACCGACTGAAATGAACAACGGCGTGGACTCCAGCAAAACGGCAGCGTCTCCGAACAGCTCGCCCTCCGAGACGCTCAGCAGGTCGGTGGTTTCACAGCTGCTGCACAGACACGACGTTTCACACATGACGCGTTAGGAAATAAAGTTGTGCCTACCTGCAACGTCCGCTTAGTCAGACCCCGAGCGGTGGCTTGACGTTACACCAGGCTTTCAGACAGCACTTCATACAAATACTTGCCTTGAGAAAGAGCTCGAGCTTTGTTGAAAAGTGCTTAAAACAATTACAGAATCAAAGGAATTGTCAAGACAAATGACTCTCTGGAGGTTACAACGCAGCAATTCTTAACTGTTCAAGGGTGATGTAAACAAATGAAGTAGCAGCATTTGCTTCTGTAGTGCTGGAAGCTATTAAGACATCGTTTTTTTTCACTTCTTTGTTGTTTAATTGCATCATTATTTTTTAAAAAGTTGAGTTTTCCTACCGTCTGACGGCTGCAGGTCGACTGATGTCTCCGCACGAGAAAAGAAATGGAAAAAGTACATTAAATTAGTCTTGTTCTGTCACTGAGGCTGTAATGTTAAGCAAAAAAATAAAAAACAGAGTTAGAATTGACCATCAGCAGATTTTTTTAAACTTTAGATTATGAAAGTCATAAAATTAGGGTTATTTCTCTTCTGGTGCCTCAATTATTCTGGATTTTTTCCTCTAGGGATGCTGGTCAGACAGTTAAAGCTATTATGTGATTTTAAAAAAATGTAATCTTACTTTTTTTATCAATCTTGTTGGAATGGGACAGACCACAAACAAACAGGTAAATGTTTAGCTCTTGGACGGAGGTAAACATGATTCTTCCTTCTGTTAGTCCCAGGAGACCGGATGTCAAACCCAAACTCGACTTAGATCCGGACAAAAAACACTCTGACAGAAAAGAAAAACACAACGACGAACACAAAAACCAAAAGAGACACGCGGATATACCCGGGGATGAAAAGCACCGAGAGGACCTCCGAAATGAGAAACATCTCCAAGAAAACAGAAAAGAAAAACAGACACCTGCGGAAAGTCCCAAACTGGAGACGGATAACAAGAAACAGAAGCACACGCAAGAGCCGCAGAACGAAAAACACAAGTCCGAGCAGAGGAAAGAAAGACCGTTAGAGGAACCGAGAAAGATGAAACATGTGGAAGAGCTCAAGAAAGAGAAACACCCCGAGGAGCCGAAGAAGCAAAGCGGCGCAGATGACGTGAAGAAGGACAAAAGCAGGGAAGAGAGTCGACCCGAGAGGCTGAGCAACGCAACACAGCGAGACAGTGAGAAGCACGCTGACGCTCACAGACCGATATTTGAAAGGTGAGGAGGTGATGACTCAAAAAGTGACAGTTACACATCACGACGGTGCGGTGGAGCTTCAGATTGAACTGTTTATTTCAGGAGGGGAGTGTTGGACAGCAGCATTCTGTATCCCACCCGGTTCCCGTCCCCTCCTCGACCGACTCGGCCTCCTCTTCCCGTCAAGCGTCCGTCTTTGGACGTAAAAAAAGAAAGGTCAGGTCTGCTTTGAGCCGAAGAGCACGACAAGAGTGAGATGTTGCTGCTGCTACTGCATGACATAAAACTGACTGAGTTACTCACAAGCGCTGACGTTTTGCTCCTGCAGTTTTATAACCGAAGTCACGACCTAACAGGGTCCCCGCTGTGCACGGTGCATGCTGTGATGGGTCGGGCAGGTGTGTCTTTTTATGAGCTCCCAACAGCTGCATGCTGCATCATCTGGAACTCTGATCTGTGCTGCTGTGTTCAGGAAGGACGGGAAAGACTCTTCCTCCCGACATCCTCGTCCTCCTCGGCCCGGCTCCCCGCCGACCAAACGGCCGCCAGTGGAAGTAAAGAAAGAGAGGTCAGGAGTAGGGATCCACCAGGTTTTTCTTTAGGGCCGATGCCGATTGCTGGTAATCAAGAAAGACCGATATTTGGAACTGATAGCATGAGATCGCAGAGAACATTCTTCTCAGGCTTCTTTATTAATAAGTGACTGTAATATGTAAAATAGAAATTATTAAACTAGGAGTCAGGTTAAATGGGATCGACTTGAGGTTGATCAGTTTGTCTCCTGCAGTTCTTCTCTATTTTTTTTGTTTTTTTCACTTTATTTCCTACTAAAGTGTATTTTTAAAATCATTCTTAATTGTTATTTTTCTGTCCTTCTAGCTTATCTGCTAGCCGTTAGCATAGCCTTCACCATGGTGATAGCAGCTCATTTCCCAGTTTGTGGCAACAGCTTGTGTTTCTTGTTCAGTGTTTCTGCTTGAGAGACATTTCTGAGACCACAGAGTGACAGAGAGAGAAGGCTGCATCAGACCTGAAGTAGCGCATTTCATTTATCAATAATCGGTCAACAAAAATGCTGATAATCGGAAAAATGCCAAATATCGGCCCCAATAATCGGACAGGCCGATAATCGGTCTATCTCTGTTGTGGTGCATGATTTTGTTGTTAGACTGTGCCAAGAAAAGAGATTCAAACCAATGCTGAATTTTCACATCAGGAAAGCTCCGCCGGACCCAAACGCTCCCATCGCTCCTCTTCCTCTTCACCTTCATCCTCCTCCGCCAAGGTCAGGCCCTGCATGCCCGCTCGCCCGCCCACTGACATTTTACGTCCTCTCATTGTGAAGTAGCTCAAAGGCGTCTCTTCATTTAGAAAAGAGCCTCCTGACCCCAACGCTCCTCTTCCTCCTCTGCCTTTTCACCTCCACCCTCCTCCTCCTCCTCCGAAGCGTCCCTCGCTGGATGGGAAAAAGGAAAAAGACAGGTCTGGATCGGATGAGTTCTCTGCATGTAGTGTCTGAGAGGGAACAGTTTGGAAAGAAAAAATAATTACATTTGGAGTCCTCTGCTCCGCAATGAATCCTTGTGTTGTTTGCTGCAGCAGCAGGAAGGCGTCTACAGACTCGAAGCCTCCCCTGCAGAAAAAGACGTCAGACCACATGAAGAAAGACAGGTCCGCGATCTGGGAATTATTCCGTCTCTCATTCATCCGTGAAAATTAAGTTTTCTGTTGTGTCTGGAGGAGCAGTGACCTCAGACTCTAATCTCCATTTTGCTTTTGTTTTGCTTAAAAAACCCCAGCGTTGTATTGGCGTGGTGACGCATTGCTGGGAGCCCTCTGGTCGTTTGAGCTCCAGCTGCTGTTTGATGCTTTTCTGTTGCTTTTCTTCTTGCAGGAAAGACTCAGTGGATAGCAAAGTGACTAAAAAACACTCAGATGAAACCAAGAGAGAAAGGTTGGCAAGCCATGAGTGTAAAAAAAATGCCTGTTAAATTGCAGGTTTTATACTCTTTGTGGTAGTTTTCTGGTTCTGAAAACACATTCAGTGCATGAGGTTTATTATACTTTACTCTATACTATACACACAAATGTTTCCTTTTGTCAGGAAAGATTCGTCTGACTCTAAACCGCCTCCTCCTCCCAAAAAGCCCAGTGTGGAGGTCAAAAAAGAAAAGCACAGGTGTGGGAATGTGTTCCACCGTCCAACATAAACCCAATTGTCTTTACACAAAACGTGATGTTAGTGTCACAACTCTGTGGTTCTTGTGTTGCAGGAAGGATTCCAGTGACTCAAAGTCTGGCCAACCTGTGAAACGCCACTCAACGGAGTCCAAACCTGACAGGTAGGAGTGGTTCACACAACCTGCAATCTCACCCACACTTGGAAAGAAAACATCAAATCCAGATTGAACCCAGATTTACCGAAAGTGTCTCATTACTTAGACGGGAATCGACTGATTCGAAGAGAAGCAACTCGCCACCAGCCAAGAAGCTAACGGCCGAACGGTAAATGAAGCCAGTTTTCGTCTGCTGATTATATGAAAAGGTTTTTGTTTGGAAATTGACACGAATGACTCTGGCTTTGCATTAAAGGAGAGAGTCTCACAGCTCCAAACCTCCTCAGCCTGGACCTCCACAGAGGAAGCCCTCTACTGACAGCAACGACCGGTATTTTAATCTTCTTTTAATGACATTCAAATCATTGTGTATTCATTGTGATTCATGCTGTTGATCAGGGGGTTGAATTAGATTAGAGCCCACCTCTGCCTCCTGAAATCCAAACCTGCGACAGCTCAGCTCCGTCTCTTCCGTCATCACCAACTCACATGAATCTTGAAATCTGCCGTCAGACTGTTTACTTAACTTTCAGCTTCACCAAACAGCAGCCGTCTCCAAACCCAAACAGGGTCTGCGTGTAGTTGATGTTTTTGGCAAAGCAGCGATACCTTCATTAATAATTTATTTCTTCTGACGTGCCGTTGATCACATGTAGAAAATGCTTTTCTGCAGTCAGGCAGTTAAACTGTTGTGCACCAGATTAAAGCTTCTGCAGGAAGATCACTGGAACAAAACAGTTTTTCTCCTTAAGTGCAGCAGTGTTTGCTGTAGTGTCGTCGCATCTGGATCAGAACAAAGAGATGTCTTTTATATGTATGGCATGAATAGAAGTGTTTCCTGAACCATGAATTAAATGCAAAAAAAAAAAGTATTTATCATATATATAGAAAGTACAAATAGTGTCTGCTGCTGTGGTGTATGTGTTTGGAGTCGCCTTATTGTCCTTTCACAGAGATTCAAGGAGATTCACTTTTTTCTTCAAATAATTTGAAATGTTGCTTCACACAAATTACTAAAAGGTACTGAAAGCTAAAAAAAAATAAAATGAGAATCTTGACACAGTTAAATTAAAACTAAAGTTCAGTGTTTATTTTAAAAAATGGCATTTAGAAAATTCAACTGCAGCATGGCTTCCTCAAGTGTCCCCTCTTCAGACGTTCCCTCTCTTTTTAAGAAAAATCTCGAGACGTACTTGTTGTCGATGGCTTTTGGTTGCTCTTGGTGGTCTTGATATTTTAGTATTTTATATATTTTTTTTAATACAAGTTGACTTTGCAAGTTTTTTATCCTTTTTTTGGTCTTGCTTTTTGAATTTTTCCATGTTGCCCATCTCATAATGTGCACAGTATTGATTTATTTATTTTTATTTTATTTTTTTTTAAATAAAAGGTGCTATAAATATATTACAAATAAAACTGATTACATTTTGATTTCATGTGATTAACTTGATGTTGCTGTTTGGCAAGTAGCTATCTGGTGCTAACACTCCTCTGAATAAACTCAAAAAACTAATAAAGCTTCTTTCACAATGATGGCAGCCATAATTAATGAACATTTTTAAACAGTAGTGATGTGTCTGAGTTGTAGGAGGGACTCTCTGTATGATGGAAGCTGGTAAATAAATGAAAAGTGCTCTAAAGAGTCTTTATTGAAATGAATATAGACATGAAACAGATTTTTTTTGCTGTTTTCTACAGAAAGGGCAAAATTGAAGCCCCTAAGACTCCCACCACCCCGACCAGCCCAATGTCACCCAGCTTCAGCTCTCCTGGGGGCCCGCTGTCCCCTCACCTCACCACCGGAGACTCCATCAGAGACAAGTGCATCGAGATGATTTCAGCTGCTCTGCGCACAGACAGTGAGGCTGCACTTTGTCACTGATGGCAGCAGCTAATGTCCTGATATGCACATTTAAAAAAGAACGCAGAGTGGAACTTAACAGCAAATGGCTGCATGTGGAGTACACTCGGATACGAACGGAGTCTGCTGATTAACACAAATTATGTTCTCTGCTCTTCACAGATGACTACAAAGACTTCGGAGCTAACTGTGACGGCATGGCAGCAGAGATTGAAGATCATATCCTTCCGTTCGGTGAATTATTTGCAGCTACGGCTGGTCTGACAATCTGATTTGATTTGAGTGATGCGTCTGTTTGATGTGATCACACATGCTCCACAGTGGAATAAACTGGCCCTTGACTGTGTGATCGCACATATCTACCAGGAGATAAAGGCCACGGATATGAAATATAAGAACAGAGTGCGGAGCCGCATCAGCAACCTGAAGGACCCCAAGAACCCCGGGCTTCGCAGAAACGTACTCGCAGGAAGCATCGAGTTACGCCGCATCGCCACCATGTCTGCTGAGGTGCAGAAGGACACCACTTCACTTTCACTTCTCCATAAAATCCTGGTTCTGTGCTTTATAACACCTCACATCCTGCTTCCTCCTTCCATTGCTCCCTTGACGTTTCGCCTCCATTTAGGAAATGGCCAGTGACGAGCTGAAACAGCTGAGGAACGTTCTCACCCAGGAGGCCATCAGGGAGCACCAGATGGCCAAGACTGGCGGCACCACCACCGACCTGCTGCAGTGCGGCAAGTGCAAGAAGAAGAACTGCACCTACAACCAGGTAAGCAGACAGAAACATACACGCAAACTATCACTCTCGAGTGAGATGAAGTTTAGCTCTGGTGCATAGACTGTATAAAAGATGGACGTAGCAACCGGCCCTGAAAAATGAAGCCAACA